TATAATAATAATATTATATATATATATATATATATATATATATATATATAATGAAAAAATTAAATGATTAAAAAAACTATATACCGTTTATCTCGCAGTTTATGTACATATATCAGTACTATACAATTATATTATGCAATAGCATTAGGTAATTTATGAATTTTAAAATAAAATTGTATATAACGGTTTTAAGTAAGAAAAAAATTATGTAACTAAACAATTGTATATAAAATAGAATTCTCTTAAAATCTTAATAATTAATTTTGATTACAATGTTATGATCATTAATTTTTATAATAAGAATATGTATTTATATATGTATTTATTATTGTAGATTATACATAATATATATAATATATAAATGTATAATAGAAATTTGAGTTTCTATTGTATATTAATATTATATAATATGTATATATAATCTTTTTATATTACTTTTAATAAAAAAGTATATAAAATTTATTTAATACTTGTATTTTATAGGATTTGCCACCACATGTACAAGAATTATTAATACGCACGAAAGAACGCAAACAAACAGCTCTGTTTCCTGCTAATCTAAAAAACTTTGCTAGAACTCTTCACTTTCATTCACCAGCTGCATACGAAGCAGTTAGACGTAGTTTTCTTAATTGTTTACCTCATACTAAAACACTTAATAGTTGGATCTGTTCAAAAAGATACAAACCGGGGATTTCCGAAGAAATTATTAATAATATCTCTAATATTGTTAAGCAAGAATCAGAGAAAGGTAAAAAACTTGTTTTTAATATAACTTTTGATGAGATGAATATTAAACAACATAAAGAGTGGGATAGAAATACACATTCATGGAAAGGTCTTGTATATTTCGGTGGACAACTAGACGAAATAAAGAAAAATGGACAGCTTAAAATTGCCACTAAAGTATTAATTTTTATGTTAGTTAATATAAATGGCGGATTTAAAACTCCGGTAGCCCATTATTTGATTAATTCTTTGAATGGCGTAGAAAAATCGATTCTTTTAAAAGATTTATTAATAAAACTAAATGAAAAAAGTATTAATGTAGTCAGTGTAACATTTAACGGTGATAGAGCCCATAAAACAGCATGTAACTTATTAGGCGCTAATTTAAATTATAAAGATAAAGATCATTTTAAGCCATATTTCGAACATCCAGGAAATTTAAAACCTGTTTATATTTTTTATGATCCTTGTCATTGTCTTAAACTTATTCGAAATTATTTCGCTACAAAAGGTCCAATTATTTATAATCACAACGAATATATACGCTGGGAATTCATTAAAAAATTGCATAACATACAAGAGCATGAGAAGTTGCATTGTGCTTGCAAAATTCGAAATAGGCACGTATATTTTTACAATGAAAAAATGAAGGTCTTCTTGGCTGCTCAAGTTTTAAGCAATAGTGTCTCAGCTGCTTTAAGATTCCTTGAATTTGATCTAAAAAATCAGGATTTTGTAAACGCTTTTCCAACAGCAACATTTTGCAAAAACTTCAATGATATATTTGACTTATTAAATGTTCGAAATAAATTTTGCAAAACACCAGGCCGAATGAGCATAACTAACGATTCTTTACCAGAATTAAAAAAAAAAGTTGAAGAATACGTTCAATATATTGAACAATTAGAAATTAATGTAAAAATTAAAACATCAAACAAAGAAAATTCTGTCAGTAATATAGATGCAAATATTATACGTAAATCAGTTGTTCATAGTGATTCTGTAAGTACAGGTTTTGTGGGTTTTATTATTTGTTTGAGAAACATCTACACTCTTGCTAATTATTTAATAGAAACTAACATTATTCAATATATGTTAAGCTATAAACTATCACAGGATCATATCGAAATGTTTTTTTCATCAATAAGAAGAATGAATGGACATAATAATAATCCGACTACAACTCAATATATGTCTGCGTATAAAAAATTATTGCTCAACAATTTGAATATTATCATTTCTTCTTCTGCAAATTGTTCTCCGTTAGATGAAACATTACTGATTTCTGAAGGAAAATTTTACAAATATTAATAATGAAAATTCAAAAATTATTTCGAAAAATACAGTATGTGATTTTATGAAGAAACAAGACGAAACTCCTTGTAAAGTAAAATTTACTTCCACTCAAATTAATGATTTTCTGCAAAATAACAACTATATTTTTAAAGATAATTATAGCAAAAGTGAAGATTGGTATTCTTCTGAATACGCAGAAGAAATCATTAAACATACAGCTGGTTGTATTATTCATATTTTAAAACGTATTATTCATTGTCAAAAATGCTGTGAACTATTAGATGGAGCCAATAGTACTTTCAAATCTAAATTAACAATTTTAAAAAATCGCGGAGGCTTAAATTTTGCATCTAATGATGTAAATTTTATTTGCAAATGTACAGAAAAAATTATACGTCAATCTGAAAATTTATTAGCTAAAAACATTAATACAAACATAATTATTAAAACATTAGAAATTTTGCCTAGTACAATTTTAGATGATAATAAACATTTTCTCGAACAAGAACCCTTTATGGACCACCGTAATCAATTAATTTTACTCATAATACAAAAATATATAGATATTCGTTTGAAACAGGAAAGTAATATTTTAAACGATCAAAGACAAAGAATACGAATGTAAAATAATAAGCTCACGATTTTCAGTGGGCAATAGCAAGATTTTCTATTTTTATAAATATTTATATAGTAATGTGCATATTTATATATTTTTATAAATATTTAATAATGTGCAATTTATTTTTGTTTGTACTGTGATTTAAAGAATGTAACTATTATATATATATATATTTACTAATATATAAAAAACAATATGTAATTGTAATAAATTTTATTTTATTATTATATATATCAGTATATTTATATACAATTCCATATTCAAAAAAAGTTATATTTTATAGTAAACTGTTTGCTGTAATAAGTTTGTAATTTTGAGAATTTTTCTTTAAGGTTATCTTTTCAAACTGTTCAAGAGGTTAGAACCTAAATGCGTTAAGGTGCAATTTCACGTAGCGTCAAAAAGCTAGCGGCTACCCCCACTCTGTGATACATTTCCTCTCAATAGTAAGCTGCCGATAAAACGCCAGCCGCTAAACGCCCGCTACTTTTTCATGGAGCGACAAATCGCTAGTCGCTGTGGATTTATATTTTCTGTATTTTTTAAATTTTTCTATAGATTTAAATTTGTGTATAAAACTGACAATTAGGATGCGTGTCAAAGTGCATTTAAACTGTCCGAACAGTATTTTATCGACAACATTACAAAATACATTGCCATCAGTAATAGCTAAAGAGATTAAGAAACGACGAATACTGGTGTTGTGTGCAATTATGCGAAAATTGCAAAAAAATGAAAAGAGACCGTACAGGAAGAAGCAATACTGGGTAGCACCATATCTAAAGGATCGTCCAGAGCACAGTTTTTATTATGTGTCAATTCCTAAACTGACCATAGAGAATGGAGTACGATTCCACAATTATTTCCGAATGTCCGCAACACAATTTGAGGAATTGTTATCTATTGTTGGACCGCTATTGATAAAAGAAAATGTTATTCGAGAGCCCATACAACCGAAAGAACGTTTGATAATAACATTAAGGTTTGTAAATGTTAAAATTACTGCAAATTTTATACAAGAAACTTGTTCACTGCTTTGATATTGTTTAAATATTATATATCTTTGTATCTTTGCAATGTTCTAGGTATCTTGCTTCTGGCGATTCAATGACGTCAATGTCATACCAGTATCTAGTTGGGGTAACAACAGTTTGTAATATTATTCGAGAGACATGCGAAGCAATTTGGAGCAATTTGTGTCCTTTGGTTTTATCATCAGTATTGTCGGAAGGAGACTGGCTCGAAATTGCAAATGATTTTGAAGAATTGTCCAATTTCATTCACTGCATTGGTGCTATCGATGGAAAACATGTAACAATTCAAGTATGTGTTCAGTAGTATTCGTTGTCTGACACACTGTACCGTACCAGTTATCGATAAATTATTATATTTTCAGTCTTAAAAATAATGAATGGCTAATTTTGTTCCAGTGTCCCAACAATGCTGGTTCAACGTACTACAACTACAAGCATGCTCATAGTGTAGTATTAATGGCCATTTGTGATGCACGCCTATATATTTCGTTTTGTTGACATCGGGGGCGTACGGACGACGAAGCGATGGAGGTATTTTCGGCGACAGTGCTATCGGCAAGAACTTCAATGCAAACCGCATGAATGTACCGAAACCATCAGCTGTTGCAGGAGGACGAATTTTGCCATACTGTCTCGTGGGAGACGAAGCATTCCCTTTAAA